TGAATACTAACTTGCATAGTATTTCAATTCAACCCTCAAACTTTTTCTAGATCCATCTCCATTCAGCTGCCTGGGAACACCCCCCCCCCATTCTTAACTCTCAAAAGCTGTGGGGAGGGGAGGGCATGGAAGGGGGGAGATTTGTTTCAAATGCAGGTTACTGAGCCTGGAGTTCCTAGAGACTGTGGCAGGTAGGTTTTAGGAAAAGGCATTTTTGACAGGTGCCTCAGGTGGTGCTGACATTGTCCAATGGCCAGTGCCATCCCCAGTCACCTCCCCAGTTTCTGAATGGGCTCTTGACAGATCACGGGGTGCTGCCACAGGGACTTCAGTCCTTTGTCCCCTCAGCAGGGTGTGCTGTGAGTTGCCACCATGGCCTCCAGCAGAGAGGAGTCAGGGTCCTCTTTTTCTGCTCCTGCCTGGGTCTTGCTCACTCTCAACAATGTAGCTTCTTTCAATTCACCTTCTATTTTCTGCTATTGCATTCTGTGGTATCCCTTACCCATCCCAGCAGTTGGAGCAAGACAGGCATGCCAGGTCCCCAGCGGGTGTGGATGGGGTCTCAGCTTGGCTCTTAATGGAATGAAGAAATTTCAGGTAGGTTGTAGCTAGGGAGTGGGAAGGGGAAGGAATCTGAGCACCCGAGTTTAACCAGCAACCTGGTCCCCAGCCACTGCCTGACATTTGTCAACCCCTTTTCATAGTCACTCCAAAGAGACATGGTGATGGTTCTAGCCCATTCTCCCTTCTCACAGACACTGTCAAAAAGCACCCTCGCCCCCACCCCCCCAGACACACCCCTTGCAGGGAGCTTCTCCATGGGCCCAACTAGATTGGGTAAAAAAAAATAATCAAATAGCTGCAGTTATTGAGCACTTAGTACATGCAGACATTGAACGAGGCAACTTAATAGACAAGTAAAAACAAAGAGAAGCAACCCCACACACACACACATACACATACATTATTCCCTCTACAGATGAGATAGTGTTTAAATAATTGTCCCAGGACACACCATCAGTGGCAGGGATAGGATCTGAGCTCAGATCTGTCCAACCAAACCTCCGAAGTTAAGTCAAAGCTAAAGAAAAGATGAAGCATCTTATTAATCTGCCCAGGGCTGTTTTGTCTCGGCAAAGTGCCCGGGGCCAACAAAGGACTGTGAAACTGCTTCACACCCAAAAAAAGGGCACGAAGGAACTGACAAAATTGAAGTGTTTAGAAACACTTATTCAAATGACATTATGAAGAGTAATTAACCATACGGAGTTCCATACAAATGATGTTCCACAAGTAGCATATGCACATACGATAGGCTGGGGGGCGGTCCTCAAGAAGGGGAGCCTACAAGTACCCGTGCCCACCACCACACCTCCCCCTCCCCACCTGGCTTTGCCTCTCCATCAACGTTGTCCCCTGCCCAAGTTACTATGAGAGAAACAGGCAGCAATGTAAAGGCGCCAGAGCACAGACCCCAGGAGATCTTGCTCTGAGCAATCTGACAGCCTCTTACTTTTGCTCTCCTCCTCCTCCTGGAGAATGGGCATAACATATTTGTCCCCCCTAGCTCCCCAGTACAGGCACACCTCATGTTACTGAGTTGCGTACGCTCTGGTGCATTTTGCAGTTAGTGACTGCAAGTGTTTTACAAATGGAAGGTTTGGGGTAACGTGGCACTGAGCGTGTCATCAGTGCCCTTTTCCCAGCCGGGTGTGCTTATTTTGTGTTTCTGTCACATTTATTAAGGTTTCTTTTTAAAGGTATGTACATTGTTTTTTTAAAAAACAATGCTTTTGTTTATTTAATAGACTATGCTATGGTGGAAGCGTAACTTTTATATGCACCCCAAAAGTCTTGTGACTCCTTTTATTGCAGTCACTTTTTTTTGCCGTGGCCTGGAACTGAAGCTGTAATATCTCCAAGGTGCGCCTTTAGTCACAGGATCCTGACGTAACCATCTTTTGATGGGCAGAAGTTCCCCTGGTCCTGCCAAAGAGGCTGGATTATAAAGAATGATAATGTCTCAAGATAGAAAATACAGGCTTAAATCAAAACAAGGGAACAGATAATTTTCATACGTGCAAAAGAATTGTCTTCTGTTATTCTGTTCCTTCCCAGATCTGACGGGTTTCCAGATTTCATAAGGGTGATTACTAACATATACATAGCATTTCACCTTCTGCCACCATCCTAACTCTCTTGCAAAATAAGTTGAACTAGTTCTTCTTTCTCTTCACAGATGCACTGTAACTGAGGAGCAGAGTGCTGAAATGACTTGTTCAGGGTCCCCCCAAATCATCAGAGCAACAGCCTGTAGGAACCTGGACATCAGCCCTGCTTAGTAGTCATTCAACCTCAGACTACCTTGGGATCTGTCTGAGCCTCAATTTTCTCCCATGGAAATGGGTGTAATTAGAACCATCCTTAAAATGTCAGAGGCATCTTTTAAGATTGTTGGAGGTTAAATGAGAAGGAGTAGGAAACTCACCTAGCCCAGTTGCTGTGTGGTTAGTGCTCAGTGCATGTAGGCATCATTATTATGTTGTATTACTATGGTTATTATTATTACCCAGCATACACTGCATGTTTTTTCTTTAAAGCGTCTCCCAAAACAACACATACATAAATTTTCTTTCCAGGAATAAAGATCTGAGATCTTAGCTCCTTGGGGAGATAGGACCAAAATGTCAGCCTGACTTTTTCTTGATTCTCAAGATCATGCAAAGACAGAAAGGTTAGACACAGAGGAGGAAAGCAAACAACAGATTAGAACTTAGACAAAAGACAAGGAGGATCATGTGGAAGGTTGGGCTTGCAGAACCCGAGTATTAAAGCTCCAGCCCAGTGATACACCCCTGACCCTTACAGCCTGGGAAGCCTGATGCCAGGGGGCAAAGTCTAAGAACAGGCCCTGGGTGCATGGGAGGACCCCGGCACTAGGGAACCTGGTTTCATTTCGTTGTTCACAACTTGGACCCACATTGTCATGGGAAAATATAAACACGTTAGTTCAAAGGTTGGATTCACACTTGGTGCTGTTATAAAGTTAGCACTGCCAGGCTAAGGTGCAGGGTAAGCCCTCCTGCCCCACCCCTTCTGTGCAGAGAATGTGGGGACAGAGCCCTGGGAGGCCCAGCCAGCCAGCTGTTAGGTCCCACCCCCCTGACTCATGCTACCCTAGATCAGGCTACTCTTGGGCCACCGGTGGTGAACTGGGTTCCCATCAGCTTTGCGGCAGTTCTTGAGCCATCTTGAGCTTGGCTGACCCTGGGGTTTACGTTGAAGGATAAATGACTTTAACCCAGACAGAAAGGGAACATCGGGCAGAATGCACACCCTGTCCAAAGTTGCTGAAGCATGGTAGCAGCTTGGGAAGGTCTTTAAGACGTACCAGATAGCTTAAGCCCTTTGATGGTGCTGGTTTTCAGTGTAGACCACAGGAAGAGCCACTGAAGGGCTTGCCGGAGGGGCGTGCCAGTTCTCTCCTTTAGAAAAAGAATTGCACTGGCCATTTGGAGAGGCTGCCGGAAGTGACTAGAAGCAAGTTGGCAAAGTAAGCCAAATCCTCCCTAAGATCCATCTACCCTCTAGTTATTTTGATGATATCTTTAGACAAAGAAGTAGCATAGGACATGAGAGAAAAGGGTAGAAAACTTGCAGAAAGCTCCAGTGAGCAGGGCCAGGGCCCATTAAGTCAAGCTTCAGTGCCTTAGGTGCAAAATTTAAGTCACTCAGTGTTGTGCAAATACCCCCAAGGAGGTTGGCTCCTTAAACGCTCCCCCCCTGGTGCCTCACCTGTGTCACTGCAGCCCTGTCCTGCTAGGAAGTCGGTGATGTGATTACAGGTCAGGTTCTGAGGGGCCTGGGTGGGGAACCAGCAAGCCTGGGTTCATTTGGGGAACTTTTAAATGCAAAGACAAGAGCACAGGCTGCAGGCAGACCTGGATCCAAGTCCTGACTATTCTTTATGATCTCAGTCAAGTTGGTTTCCTCATTTAGAAAATGGCAAAGCAATGTAAAAATACTGGGTACAGTGCTGTACAAATTCCAGGCATTCTCACTCATTTTGCCTTCTCCTTGGCTGGCACACCCTTGGAGAGCAGGGATAGCATGATGCACGAGGATGTTTCTTTTGGAAGCAGTATCGGTAAAAATAACTGCGGCGCCCTCCGCAAGGCTGCCTGAGTCTGTGAAAGGACATACTCCTCTGACGTCCCTGGCTGTTAATTATTTGGACCTGAATACCTCGTTCTCAAGAACATACTGCCTGTGTGTTTGGAAAATCTTCCTGGGGGAGTGAGGGCGAAAAAGCAGCACATTGCTTGCTTAGTGTTTTCATTCTTTGAGCAATTATTTATTAGGAGCTTGCTCTGTGCAAGCAGGTCCCCTTGCTGTGGATGCAAAGTGACTCCAACCCTCTGCCCGAAGCTTATACTCACTAGAGGGCGCTCTGGGGAGGGTCTGGGTGAGGGAGGCCAGGAAATAAACATGCAGTGGTGTCAACAAAGGAAACAATTTCTGGTAGTAACAAGTGGTATGAAAACAATGAAGCAAGGCCGAGGGCTGGAAGGGGCAGGAGGTAGCTACAGTGAAGGCAGTTGGAGGGAGGATTTTTCTGAGTGAGGGATGTTACAGTTAAGAGCTCAACCAGACCAGTATTCTGTGTGATGGGAGGAGTTGGACATCAAGTGCAAAGGCCCTGAGGTGGGAACTAGCAGCCTTGGGCTATGTTGTCTGCTTTGAGTCAAACGTGCAGTGTTTGGCCTGACATCTAAACAAGAGAGGGAACAAATAAATACATGTTCCTCGACCTCATCCATCTGTATCTATGTATGTATCTAATTCTCCATCCCTTCTCTGTACTGCTAATTTGGGTCACAGATAAACACTCCCATAGCACAGCTGCCACCCCCATCCCCCACTCCTTCCTCTATGACCTGGCCATGACTTCACCACTGATATTTCCTCTCCTCTCTAGAACCACAGAGCCATCACTGCAGAAGAAACACCTTACCATTTCCTGCCCAAGCTGAAGCCCAGCTTGTGTTCGTCCCCTCCTCCATTTTGCCTGCCCCTGTGTGGAGGCAGAAGGCTGCCCAGCACCTGGTGCCCGCATAAGGGGGATCCAGGCTGGGGCAAAAGGAGGCATCGCCTTAATCCTGCCCACCTCAGACGGGCTTCATCAGAAGGCGTGGCACCTAATTCCCGTGCTTCTGACAGAGTTCACAGTGTATTACAGAATTTCATAGTTGGCGTGGGGTTGGTGGTAAAACTATTCTAATTTTCATGTTAGCCACAAGGAGCCCGAGGGCCTCTAGGAAGGGAAGTAACTTGGTGAAGATCAGACAGTAAATCAGGAACAGGCCTTTGGGCTCTTCGTAAAGAACGGGTCAAGCACTTTAAAACTGCCAGAGACATTTTTCATCTCCATTTTTATACAGGGAGATTCAATGACTTGCCCAGGGTAACACAAAGCTGGCCTTGATTCTAACTGGAGATCCAGTGTTCTTATACTTTTGCCATGTTCTCTCCAGTCTGCCTCATAGAAAATCAGTAAGTATGCATTCTGGAACATTCTAAAGAGATGTTGGGGGAGAAATAAATCACCACCTTCCATGATTGCTTTTGTTCCTTGCTATTGAAGGTACTCAGTAAACTCACTAGAAGGGAATTTCTTTTTCTAGAAAAGTGGGATAATAAGTCTTCTTTGAAAAGGGTTTCCACACAGTCAAATATTAGTGCAGATTATTTGATGGTTTTCTCTCGAAAGAAACCCCCCCCCATGTCAGAGCTCCTATGGAATGGGGCATTAATAAACTTAATGGGGCTTGAGTGAGGAAATCCCATGTTTTGCAGTAAACTGGGCAGTTGATTATAATCTTTCCTATTGTTAGGGGGAAAGGAAATCCTGAGCCAAGTCCATACAGGCTTTGGGGATGCCACCCCCACTCCATCAAGACACTGGGAACTACAAATCCCATGATCCCCAAAGGGAAGTTGCGAGGACCTAAAGGCAGAGTTAAGCAGCCGTTTTCTCTGTTTGTAAATAAAACCTGCCATGTTGGGGGGGGGGGGTCTCGAACACTTGGCTCTTGTTCTTGGACACGCAGGTTTGGTCTCGGCAGGTCATTTGGGATTCCAGGTTGATGGAACGGGTAGGATGCATTTAAGAATTTATCTCCCTCTTTTCTCCCTGTCCCTTATAAATAAACCTTTGTCAACCTTTTGTGTGTGCCTGCAGTGTAAGTCCCTTTCAAGTGAGCAGATGAGGACCCACAGTCAGGGAACCCATTTTAGAGCAGGGTTGCCCTGTAATACTATGTTTCACCAAATTTCTCTTCTTGGTAATAGGTTTGCATTTTTATTTTAGACATGGCAAGGGGGTGGGAGAGACTTTTCTTAAAACTAAAGACCAACATATATATCCCAAGAGTCTCATGTAATCAGAGCCTATTTGTTGCTTCCACATGGGGTATAAAAGGTGACTTTGAAAAGAAAAGAGGACCTCATCTCCAGTCAAATGGCCACCTCCAGGTACAGGCAACTACTGTCTGTTTCCTGATGCAAGGTGCCCAGCAGAGGGGTGTTCAGGAAAGGGGAATGTGTAGGGATCCAGTAGTCCCAGCTTATATCCCAACTCAGTCTCTAATCGACTGTAGGGAGGTAGGTAAGAGCTTTAATTTCTTTAAGGTAACAGAAAACATATGTACAATAAAGGTGAAGAAACTGAGGCTTAAGTTAAGAAATCTACCAAAGTGTGCATTGCTATTTAATAACAGCTCTGGGTGTGAGACCTTCCTTTGTCTGATTCCAAGCTCTGCCCACATGGTACATGGCTTCTTCTTAGGATTGTCACCATCTAACCCCCAAAGGACACATCTGTGGATTGTGAAACATGACATCAAATTACAGGATTAGTTTTAAACTAACTTTCAGAATACTTGCATATGCCATAATATTAAGAACATGTAAGTATATATAAATAAAAAGTACATATACATATAGGATGGATGGATGGTTGGATGGATGGAATGGATAGGTAGGTAGATAGATAGAACTCCAAATGCATACTACATACCTCCACTGATCATTTTGGGAAAGATAGAATTCTCACAACTATGCTGCTATTACTGCTGGGTTAGGAGCCACAGGACAATCTCAGCCTCACTATCCTCCAAATCCCATTAGACCTCACATTTTATTAGCCAGTTTCATCACCTAGTTGAGTTTGTTATTACTGAAGAATCTCAAAATATTGCTGCTGGGGACTTTGAAAGTAGAGCCGCCAGGTATCCAAGAATGACAGTGCCTTCATGACCTCCCCAGGAGAGTCCCCAGATGGCTGTGGCCCCAAGTCTTGCCTCTCACCCACCTGCAGTGTGTGTTTGGGAACAACGTGCCCCTCCCATCTGCATCTGCTTCCTCTCTTGTAAAGTGGTGAGATTGGACTCAATGATGTTTGAAGTCTCTTTTGGTTTTAGGAATCTAGGAGGCATTTTGAAGAGGACAATAGTCACTTGGATGTCTGAGTTCTGGTATGTCCATCAAAATAACTACCGTGCCCTCTAGTCACATCTAACAGACATGAGTGGGCACAAGTGCCCTGGTGGGTCCTTGCTTGCCAATAAATGTAGCCACCAGTCTACCCAATTTTCAAAGCAGCCACTGCTTCCTTCCCTCCCTCCCACCTCTGAGACTCAGGGTGTGAAAGAAGAAAATGGGGACGTACCACCTTCTGACAACCAGCATGTTCAGGGCCTTCTACTTCCTTCCAAGGCCTGGGCTCCCTGCTCTTGCTTCCTCAATGCCACACAGCACCAGGAATAGCTTTTCCTAAATCCTGCCACTGCAAAGTATGTCCTTGGCAAAGCTCCTCCCAACTTTCCCTCTATGGCTTCCCAGTGGGTTAGGCTGGAAAATGATCCCTCATGGATCATTCCTAGGATAGAAACTCAGGGCACAGAAGCCTGTAAACTGGCCTGTGCTCTGTGCCCCTGCAGCCTGGTGGAAGGGCCAGTGCTCGAGCCTGAGAACCCCCGGGCCTACCTACATTAATGGCCTAGTGGCTGGATCTGCAAAGCTCAGTGGCTTTTGTCTGTCTCAGTCCACCTCCTTCCTTCTATTGATGAAAAGCCAGATGGCTCTACACTGGGAACAAAAAATAACCCAAAGAAGCACAGGGCTGGGCTGCAAGTCCAAGCTGGTCTCTGTGGCCAGGCACTGGCTGCCCCATGACCAAGGAAGGTCACTTGAGCTCTCTGCCTCAGATTTTTGAGCTGCAAAATGGAAGAAACAACAGCATCCACTCCTTGTGGTGCTAGCTGGAGAAGCAGGCAGGATGGGGTAGGTCAGGGACTTGAGGCCTCCTTTGCCATGGTTGTTACCTCCCAAGCAGTGTTCGCTACATGTCAGGGCAAAATCCCATCTAAGACATGCCTTACATTTGTTTGAGCCTATCAAATCAATATTCTTTCTACATAAACAACAGAGTTTATCATCCTGTTGACAGGGTCCTCTGCAAGAGAAGGTGGGAAGGAGCTTCACAAGATCAGAAGAAAGCTGGCGGGAGGTCAGATTTTGGTTTCTTTGGTTACTCTGTTATCTTTGGTCCCAGGCAGGTTGTGCATACTCCTCCTACCTTGTCCACTTTTATTTTGGAAAACAAAGCAGCAGTGAGACAAAACTCCCCACCCCTTGCTTATCAGACCCTAAGCTGCTGAGGACAGTATTGTTTTTTTTTCTTTGACTATATACTCCACCCAGAGGGGCCACAGGTACGCTTAGATTTTTAATAAAGAAGCCACACAAGCACCCTGATGCTGGGGGTTGGGGGTGGTTTCCTTCCTCTTACAGATTTTGCAGAGACCAAACTGTTCAAAAAAGGAAAACAAGCTGTCCACATCCAGGGAACTGCCATTCCTGCCAATTCCTGACTAATCACAAGGATGAAGTTTCCCTCAAGGAAAAGGAAAGAAAGTTGGACTGGAAGAGTGACAAAAGCCAGGAGAACTCTGGAGCCAGAATATAGAGCTCCCGAAAAGCTTTCTCCTGACCCTGCTCCTCTGTCCCTCTCGGTCCCCAGGGCAACTGTACTAAATATACGAGGATCTGGGGGAACTAGCCAGGACCTAAGAGGTAACCACTGTCCCTGCAAATTTTAGTTGGATAACTTAGCACCTGGGTAATAAATCGATGGCAGAGGGAACAAATTACAGCTGGCAACTGACTTGTGAAATTGACATATTCACAGAGTGACCCTTCCCAGCCATTCCTGCTCCCATCCCCAGTCAAATCCAAGTGGGGACACCCAACATTCCCCCACTCCCCAGCAAGAGGGGTCACTCACCCTCTTTGCAAGGCCAAGATGAACATACCACGTGCTGTAGCGAAGGCGGGTGGATGGCAGCTGGCAGCCTGCCTGCCTCACCCTGAACCTCTGCGCAGACCCCCCTGGTCTTGCGAGCCTAATCCTAAAGGTTAATAATAATCACAACAGGCAGCCCATCATTGCCTCCCTGTCTGGCTGAGAGGTTTACAACTTAAACTCATGGCAGAGGGAGAAATTGGCTCAATCACTTGGAGTAATGGTACATGGAGAGCCAGTTGGGCATGACTGCTATTTAACTCAAGGAAACCAGGCTGCCGCGCTTAACGTACGTACACACTAATAAACACGTCATGCTTCAAGGTGAAAATTAACACCACCCCTGCCCTCCCCATCTTGCTCTCCATTTGCCTGCTGACCTCATCCCGCTGGAATAAATGGGACAAGACTGGGGGAAGGGGCCACAGCTCCTTTAAAAAGGATTTAATGTTGATCTCTCCAAGGCCTTACCCCCAATTTTCAGGGGAGGGCGGAAAGAAAGATTCCTTGACTTTGCCACTCAGAACAGGTAACAGCTTCAGATCTTCCTGTGCATTTTCCAAGCAACACTGATGAGGTGGTTACTCTTACTGGCCCCTGTTTACAGGTGAGGGCACTGCAGCTCCGGGAGTTTGAGTAGTTCAACCCAAGTCACTGAGGCCCTGAGAGGGAGGAGGTGGGATTAAACACACAGCCATATGGGTAAGCCAGAGCTCCTGCTCTCAGCCTCCACGCCATGCTGGGGATTTATGGGGTGAAGGAGGAAGCCTGGACTGAGAAGATGGTTGGCTGAACTGTGTGCCCAGCAGTGCTTTCAGTCTCGGCTAGGCCCCTATCATGACGCCTTCCTCCCTGCTCTTCCCCAGCAGCCATGCTGCTTTCCTACCACAGACAAGAGCTCATGATGGCTAGTGAATGAGACCAGAGGTAAATCCACATCCACCCTTGTCCCCCTGCAACTCAGTCTCGGGCAAGAGGTAGCTAAGTAAAAATCGGTTCATAGGAAATCGAGTGAGTTGGAAACTGTCAGCTTCTTTCCTAATGTTGCCCTTGGCCCTGTCCACACAGCATGCTCCAGCCTCCAGATGGGCCTGCTCTCTGTGTAACCTGATTGTCAAAAGGACCTGGGGGCAGCCCCTTGTCCCAGGCCAGAGTCCCACTTCAGGCACAGTGGCCCTGCTTCTGACACAGTTAAGTGCCTCCTATTAAGCTAGTGCCCCTATTATAACAACCAACCCCCAAAATAGATCACAAGGACAAGTTTCCAGTTTTAGTTACAAAAATAAAAAGATACCAACTTTAATTTCAATTTCAGATAAAGAATACTTTTTTTAGTATAACTATTTTCTGTGTAATACTTGGACATACTTACACTAATAAAAGCATTCATCACTCAGTTAACATCCACATTTAACTGAGTGCTCATATTTTATTTGGCAACTTTGACATCAGCGGTTTATTATCCATTTATATAAAGTTCACAAATGAGTGCTCTTAGTAGGCAGGTAGCTCCCCTCCAACTTGTCACTCAGGGATCCAGTCTCCTTCCTTGGATCTGCCATCTTTAAATTACTCAGCTTCCAAGAGATGTAGATGCTCACAGGGTTAAGGGGCAGAAAAGGGAGGGGCATGGAGAATTCCACATGGGAGATTTTAGGGCCCAGTCTTAGTAGCAGCACAAGGGACTTCTGCACGCAACCCGTTCTTTGGCCAGATCTTAGTCATGTGGCCTGTACCTGACAGCAGTGTAAGCCGAAAAATGCAATCCAGTCAGCTAAGATGTGGTGAACACCTAATTGGGCCATGCCCCACCTAGTCATAGCAGAGCTCATCCGTCAGTACTTGTGCATGATGCTTATCTCATATTCTAGTCATGGATCCAGCTCGCAGTCCCACACCCACTGGTGTCCCGACCGGATCAGATGCTCCTGTCAGTCTTGGATGGTTTAACTAAAAGCCATTTGGGATTGGGAGTCTGAGGCGATTGGGGGAGTATGGCAGTGTGGTTCAAATCAATTCATTTCACTTCAGTGCAATTTAATAAATATTTATTAATGCCTCTATGATACTGAGAAAAGCTTGGTTCTAGGCTCTTGAAGGAGACATAAACTAATAGAACTCAGTTATACCCCCAAGGAGCTGCATACGATTAAATTCAACGGATATTCGCAACATTATCTCCATCCCATTGATTTTTAAAGGGTTGGTGAAAAACCCATCGCTACAAAGAAATCTGCCTTACAGATTTGGGTGTAAAAAAGTCCCTCCCCTGGGCCTCCCCAGTGGCGCAGCGGTTGAGCGCTGGGCTGCGAAGCTGCCCGCAGCCTCTGCAGCGCCGGTTCGATCCCTGGCTGCTCCCCGGCCACCGGAGGAGGGTCCCACATGGCGCGCAGACCTCTCCTGCTGCCCGCTGCTCCCCTCAGCAGTGTACTTTGTCGGTCTGCCTGCTCTGCTCCCCGCTCTGGCTCTGGTGAATTCTCTCACCCTCCCGCGCTTATGACTGTATTCAGGGCTTGTATAAATAATAAATAAATAAATCTTAAAAAAAATAAAATAGTCCCTCCCCAGCCCCCCCCCATCCCTAAAACACTTGGTGTCTGCGTTCCGCCCTCCCTCCCCGCATGTAAGTATTCATTCAGTTCTATTTGGTTACATTGCCTGGGGTCTCCTCTCTTGACAGCGTGCTAGCCTGTGCAGACCGGGATGGGAACACCAAGCGGTGTAAGGCTGAGACCTTGCCTTCCAGAAACTCACAATGGAGGGGGTGGTCAGGATGCACATAACTCAGTCGGATACAAGGCAGATGGTGGTAAATACGATGATAAATGTGCAAACGGCGCAAAGGGACTTATGGAGGAGGGAGAAATTAATGCTGACTGGAGGGTGGGGTGGGGATTACATCAAAGTTCCAACAATGACTTCCCGAAGAGACAAAGGAACCTGCCCTGGCAAGGGAGGCTGAGTCAAAGTGTCCGCTGTGCCCACACTGCCCTCCCTCCCTGGCCTTCCCGAGTCCCCCTCCAACCCCCCCACCCCCAGCTCTAATGGGAAAAGGCAGGGAGCTTTACTCAAGGGAAAACTCCAAGCTGTCTTAATATTTTATCTTAAAAATTCATATAAATCTTGGCTTCTACGCCACAGGACGCCAGCGTTTGTTTTGCTGTAATAATCAATATAATTGGCTTAAATTACCCGTCATTGACTACAATCATTTCATCTGGTGGCTACGCAGCTCTGATGTACCACTTTTTCTGGAAGAACACCTCCAGAAATGCAGTTTCTGAGAGCCTGGGATGGGAAGTTCAGGTTTCACTTATCTTACCCCTTGTCAGGAGACATGCACTTTTCCGCTTTAAGGACTCCGAACCTGGTCCCAGGCTTTGTGAGCAAACAGCACCACAACCACGGATGAGGCCTAGATGGATAACATGGTAGCTTCCACACACTTCTCTCCCGTCAGGGGAGAAAGAGAACAAGCAACTTGGAAGGGACTTAGAGTCCCTGACCATGGGCTTCCGTTGTGCCTACAAGAGAGGGACCTCTCCCCTATGCATTCCTGGTGGCAAATAGCTGCCTGTGGATGGAAATCTAGAACATTATACCTCTCGCAAGGAAACATTTTGCTATTTAAAGTTAAGCAGCCTACCTAGAATGCTATATACTTACTTCCTCTCTGCCTGGCTTTCCTACAACGAAACACCAAAGTGTTAATAAGAAAAAAAAAAAGCCTTTGTTTCTGATGAGGACTTGGGGGTTAATTTTTAGCATGGTGCCTGCGGATCAGGCTGTGGGACTCCCCTTGACTCCTGATGAGAGACCTGCTGCTTCATTTCACGCACACTATCTGGAAACCGCACCCCTTGACGGCAACAAAATTTTAGTTTTGGAATGAAGGCTGTCTTTCCCAGCACAAAGCAGATTTCCTAAAACATCCCAAACTGCTCACTGTTGGCCCAGGGCCTATGTGTTTGTGCTTATGGGTATCCAAAAGGGAGAAAATAGAAAATGCCTTTCTCTTAAGCACAGATGCCCCTTTCAAAGACAACAGCATTAACACATGATGCCCAATAGCTGACAGCAACCGTTGCTAGGTCTCACCCCAAAGCTTTGTTAGGAACCCCATAAAACCTGACACATGGTTTGTGACACCCAGTGAAACACTGTGCTTCTTCCATAATAACCTGAGCCCTGCTGCCTGTCATTAAGGGACCTCTCTTATTAAGCATCTCTTTTTTAAATGGCTTCCATCATCTGGTCCCAGTGTACATTAAATCCCATTATAATTATAAACACACTTCCCCATAACATCCGTTGCAGATTTCATCCACGCTGCCTACCCCCCCAGGGCATCTTTGCACTAATAACAACTCAGATTTGCTATTTGAGTTGACAACATTAGGTCCCAACACCATTTGCAATATGCTGGGGAGACACAGGGAAGAAATAGCTTTCTCTTCTTCAATCATGAAGATCTTGGGGTCACACTGACCCAAGGCCTCAGAGCTAAAAGACATCACCCCTTGGAAAGTCACTTTCTGCTGTACAGATGAGAGGAACGACATACTTAGTACCTGGAAGAGAAGCTCAAGTTTGTAAATACCACTCTCCTGGCCTCTACGGGGGGAGGAAAAATATGGCAATTAGGAATCAAAGAAGCCCTCCTATTTGGTTTTCTACTAACTAGAATCCACATGTTACCTGATTATTTCCCCCTCTTTTGTGAGGAGGTATACACAGAAGTGGCATGAAAGAATTATACTTCAAAAAAAAAAAAAAAGGACAAAGAAAACTAATAATAATTGCACTGAGGGCAATTCTATTCTGCTTAATTTTTGATATTCTCTCAACTTGTCTTGTAAATATCTGCAACGATGAAGCATTGTGAGATCCTTTGCCTCCAGAAAGGGACACAGTCGCTTTGCTATCTCCGTAAGAGTCTGGAGGGGATAAGAGCCCTTGCCACAGCCTGGAGCCTCCTCCAGTGGCCACCTGGAGTTCTCATTTGTGGAGGAAACTACTTTCCATGCAGGGCTTCAGTGACTGCCTCCCTCCCCCTCAGTCCTTCCTACCTTTACCCACTCACCACAAGCTCTGAGAAATGCAAAGCAGGTGCTTCTACCTCCACTTGCCTCTCCTCAATTCAGAGCCCTTTGATTGACTTAACATAATAGGAAAGCTTACTTTAAAAATTTAAACTTAAGGAATTCAAACAAAATGGTTGGTGACATTTCACCAAGGATCAGAATATTACCAGTAGCATAACTGCCTTCCAGGCGAACCATTTAGATGAGTTTTATTATAATTCAAAACTCCTGCCTCAACTTCATCTGAAATTTTGAGGAAGGTGGGAAAGTGCAGAGATTCTAGGGGATCTGTTTTCCTGGGGGTCTGATTGGAGGCAGAACTTGGGGGCCTGCTGTGAGCTCTTGGCCTCTGTGCATTGGGAGAAGAAGAAAAATGAAAAGCCCTTGTTTTCCTTTTGTGTCTCACCAGAGACGGTATAATTCTAGAAGTTAAGATCATGAGTTTTGCAGTCAGAACGATCCGCTTTGGAGTCTCAGCTCTGATGTGGAATGTTCCACAGTCAAGAGGAAGGCACTTAACCTCTGAGCTCAGATTCCTCTGCAGAAGAAACTGCAGGAAATACGGATACCTCCATCCATAGAGTTGTTGTGAGGACCAGTTAAAACAATATTGGTAATGTGTTAAGATTCGTAATGCCCAGAATGAGTCTCCTTCCTGTAAGACACCTTAGAGCTGACACACCCTCCTCTTCCACAAACTGAGCTTGGAAAGGCTGCTACTGGCTGCAGGTATATGAGTAAAGAAGGAGATGAGAAAAGAAGGCGCTTGAGCAATGGCATTCCATCAAAAGGTCAACTCCTCCATGCACCTGTTTCCAGCATGACCTCCCCCCAAGAGGTCTCCCCCATTTCTGGGGCCAGTCAGAGCTGATGTCCCAGCTCTTCTTACCTCACCCTTCAATAAAAAAGGAAAAAAAAACCCACACTATAAATACATGAACATTAGAGACAGAAGGAGGGAGTTTTCTCTTGTAATTTTCCATCCTGCTTGTTTTTAGGTGCTACCATATGAAATCTCTGAAGTGGGGATTCTCATCAGCCTTCTGGGGACCCAAAGACATAGCACTGGCCATAAATGGTTCCAGTTTTGGCGAAGGAGCTGCTGCTGCTTTATCTGGACCCAATAAACCTTATCAAACTGCTGTGCAGCCAGACTTCAGCACTAAGTGGAAATGCTGGGAGCTCAACATTGGCACTCGGCCCACAGCCTCGCCTGCCTTCCTCCTTTTTGTTACCTTCTCCACCTCTTAAATCCAGGCATTAATCTCTCTTTAACACTTACTAACAAGGCCTGGGCTTTTTAATGGGCAGAGTTTATGAAGCAAAGGAGATTTTCACATAGAGTGAATATGGCGGGGAGGTGGGGGAGCCCAAGTCCATGGAGAGACTGTTCTTTCTCTCCCATTATTTCCAGAGATTCTCTCCTGTTTGGATTTGAAGGTTAACAGGAGATTGGGCTCCGGGGTTAATCGGGTGCTTCTGCTACTGCACCGAGGAGGGGGCAGCAGGTGATGTGGCCAGTGAGGACCAGGACAGCAGCCACCATCTAGGCAGAAAGAGGCTCAGCAAGTTCAATGGTGCTTCTCTCTCTCACCGTGAGGCCCTGGGGGGGCTTTTCTCCTCTTTTTACATTCCTCCCCTTTGCTCTTCTTGCAGACCAGTCTTGCAGACCAGTCTTTAACTTTCTTTCAATCTCTTTCCTCTTACAGATGACATAGACCTTAGCTGGAAAATACTCTAAATAGGGATTGCTCTTGATAGTTGATCGAAATGAATATCCAGGTGTGGTCAGATGCTGGGGTAACCTGTCAGAGCATGACTACCTGCCTTCCCCCCACCCCACCTCCCAGGACTGAGCTGGCTCCCGGAGAGCACAGCAGGTGTGAGGCATGCTGGCTGGGATGAAAGTGCTTATCCTTGGGGCTACCCCATTGGCAGCTGCTGTGAACCTGAATCAGTTGGTAAGTCAAGTCCACCCCTTGGCTGTCTTCAGGTGGAAGCAGGTTTTTTGCCTCTAGCAGCCTTTTGCCATCTATATCACCCTAACAGTTATTGGGGCCTGCCTCTGGGTCCAGGGCACACCAGGAGATGTGATTGTAAGTGTGTCCTGTGGAAACCCTTGCCCCACCCACCTGTCAGGGACAGAACCGGGAGACTCTGGACTTAGGGAGTGAATTCCTGAATTGCTGAGACTGCAAGATGGGGGAGGGCAGTATTCTGAGACTCAGAGGCGGGCCCTCACCACCTCCATCCCATGCTCTTAGGCTTCATTCTGCAGCTGACCAATGCCCAGCAGAGCAAACGCTTCCTGCCCCAACCTTCACCACTAGCCAAGGAAAAGCAGGAGGTGAGCTCAGACTCCCTCTGGAAGGGCAGGTTTCTTTTGCCTGCTCACCGGGGGTGTGGTGATCTCAACTCCCTCCTCTAATGTGAAGCAGGCAGCTGAGAGGAGTTGGCACTTTTAGGGAGCCTGGAGCGTCTTCAAGTGTTCACCAGCCCCGAAGAAGACGACTGCGCTGAGCTGGGTGTCGTACTCTGGAACTTTCCCTGCCAGGCAAAGTCCTGGGGATGCTCAGGACTGGGAGGAAGAAAACTTTCTATCAGGCCTCGCCTTGGGCCTCCAGGGATCGCCACAGCCCAAGTGGGGATCTACCCTCAAGCTTAGATCTCCACGGCCCCTCTGGTACCTCTGGTTCCTGACTCACTGGGGCCAGCTAACAGCACCTGGAGAATTCTGCGGGGCTGCACGCCCGGAGGCGCAAAGCAGCCCAGAGGCAAAGAAGGTCAGGGCCGGGCTGGAACAGTGGTCTTCTAAAACCAATCTCTGGGTACGAGTAATGCGCCCCGAGGCTGGAGAAAAAGTACAAGGCGACAGGACACTCTCTGAATCAGAGCAAACACTGGCACTGGGGATAAAACTCTGTTAACTGGGGCGCCAGGGGGAAGCAAAACCAATGTCCTGGGGAAATGAAAAAACAGCAGGGGCTTGAAGGTGGGGCCGTGCTTCGCCCCTCACCTCCACGGCCCGCACGAAGGGTCCCGAGCCCCGAGCACTCCCCTGCACGATCCCTCCTCCCGGCCGGCGGGTGAGCGGCGGCCGCTGGCGCGCGGGCAGCAGCTAGATGTCAGGCGAAGCCCGGAGCGCGGCGCGCGGGGAGGGGAGGGGCGGAGGAGCCGAGCGGGGCGGGGAGCGCGCGCGGCTCGGCCAGTGCGCAGGGGGGCGGGGTGGGCGGGCTGAGCCGGGGGACGGCGCGGGAGGGGGAGCGAAGGGGGGCAGCTGTGGGCAGGGAGCCGGGCTCGGCCGCCAGCACTAAAGATGGAGAGGCGCCGGGGCCTCGCAGGGGAGGGGGCTCGGCGTTGACGTGGACGCGTTGGAGGCGCCGCAGCCGGTGGTGATTTGCTAACCTCGCAGCAGAGAGGAGTTGAGGGCGATGAGAGCGGGTACTGCGAACTGCCGGGCGATGCCGCCGCTGCCGCCGTAATACAGAGAGCAACAGTTCCCCAGCAGCACCCCTCCCCGGCACAGGCACACACCCCCAAGAGGCGCGCACGCCCACCCCGCAGCGCTCGGCTCGGCAGCGGTGAGTGGGGCCCGGGAGGGCGCGCCGCTCAGGGCTAGCCGCTCTCCGGGGCGCCCCGCGGCTGGAAAGGTCTGGGGGGCGCGCTCGCTTTGGCCACCCGGCCGCTGGGCTTGTGCCTTATTTATCCGGCGTGTTCCCTTCCCGCTGTCGCCACCGCCGCTGGGGGGTCGGCTGGAAGGGGAGCCCGGCTGTCAGCTTGGGCGCAGCTGCCTCCCAACCCTTTCGCTTCGGGGCATGACTGGGGTGAGAGGTGGGGGGCGAGGGCGCGCGCGGAGGGTTGCGCATCGGGAGCATTGTACCGCCAGGGGCCGGCGCGGGCACCGGTGGGTGCTCATATGTATGCGGACCGGTGCGCGGGCGCGAGCTGGGGTCGTGGTTTATTTGTGTTATTCGCGGGCCGGGAGGCGCCGAGGCGAGGATCCGTGGAGTGCATCTGGGGGCGGAGGGGCGCAGGACGGGGACTCGCTAGGGTTTTATTTTTCTTTGAATTTTCAAAGAAAAATAAAACGTGGTGGGTTGTTGTTCTTGATCGGACTTGGACTCCCCTTTTCGGGGGCAGAGGGATGGTCAGGCGGACCTGCGGAGGGTGTCCAGGGCTCCGGCCGCGCGGGGCTCTTGGCGGGACGCGCTGGCGCCGGGGCCGGCCGTGCGCTCCGGGTCGCCGGCGGTGGGTGCTGCGGGCTCTGCACCTGATGCGCTGGGGACGCTGCCCACCCTGCGCGCCCGCAGCCCCTTCGCGCGGCCGCTTGAGCACTCCCCGCACGCGCTCCGAAGGCGCAGGGGCTCGCCGCCCGCGGACACCCGGGGCGCGCGGCGCACGCTGCACCGGCTCCCTTGCCCGCTCCCCGGGCGGCTCGCGACGAGCCTGGGCTGGGCACGGCTGCAGGCGCCGCCCGCGCCAGCCCCGGGCCCCTGCCAGCCCCTCCCGGGGGTCACGGCCCTGGGTCGGAGAGGGCCCGCGACCCCTTCTCGCCTTTCCTCCCACAACTCGCTGCGGGGCTTTTGTGCTTCCCTTTCGCCGCCTGGCGGGTCCGCCTCCTGCAGCCCTCGCCCGGCTCCGCGTCCAGCGCCGACTGCCCTGCCCGGCCCCTGCTCCGGCTGTCTTTCGCTTTCCATCTCTTCTAACTCGGCTCCTTTTCTTTCTGCTGCCAGACTCCCCGGGAAAAGTTGCTTCCCCAAGTTTGCTGAAGTCGGCTCCAAGTCCTCCTGGGGGGTGGCTGAGATCGGGGTGTGTGAGAGCGCGATCGAGCCCCAGAACTGGGGCGGGTGAGCGCCCGCGCGCGCCTCGGCGCCACCGGCTTTGGCGCTGCTGCCCGAGCCGGCCAGATCTCGGGTGCCCGGCAGTGGGTGGTGGGGACCACTGATCCAGGCCACCCTGATTGCTCTCAGGACCCCCGGAGCTAGATTTCGGGGAGGGATTGGGGAACCCAGCTTCTATTCTTTCGATTGCTTCCTCCTGGATCGCAGAAGCCCTGAAGTCTGTGGGGAAGCGCTTGGTGGCAAGATGTGGATGAAAGTGGATGAAAGGCTGCCCTGTCCCACCCCTAACAGCCTCAGTCCCCACCCAGGGTGGGCAGCAGAAGTGTCTTAGCCGACCTGTTAACCCTTTCTGCATGAGATTGTGACTCTGAAGCCAACAGGGCTCATTTTTGTTGTGGAGACGAACAGTCTTGGCAGAGTGGGGAGAGCCCTCCTGTGTGTTGCTCCGGGTTAAATTCCTTGCAGTATTGGCCACAGCAGAGCAAGGGCTGGGAGACACCGGGCCTCTGAGGGCTAACACTTTTAATATGGACTGCGGGGGAGGGGCATGGGGCCTTATTATGATCTGTAGCTGTGCTCTAGGAGAGGCCTTTGTTTTCCAGCCCTGTTTTCCCTTCCTCCTGGTCACAACTGGCACTATAGATGCTGGTGCCCGTCCTACTCCTAGCACCACGGAACCATGTCCAGCATCATTTGCTGCCCCAGAGCACAGGACTAACCCAGTCCTGGAGCCTGGGCAATGCACTGGAGTTAACGTACCCAGAATGCACACCCCAGGCTGTGGGGTGCTGTTTCCATATTCTGTTTCCATTGGTCCTCTAAACCTGGCTTCCTACATTGTATAGATCCCCACCGCTGGACACTGGTGGGCAGGGTGATAGTGCAGCATCTTACAGAAATGTGGCACCGGTGTTGATTCTCCCGCCCTCTCTGCTGTGTACAAACACATGCACACATGCATGCACACGGCCCAGCTTTGGGCTTATGTACACAATATCTTGGTGGTACCTGTGGGTGGAAGTGACCCTGGCTAGTGTGTGGGTTATGTGTGTGTCCTTGCGAAGCTGAAGGCGGTCGGGGCCTAGGTCTGTCAGGTCTTTGCAGCCCTGAGACTAGTAGAGGGACAGGTCCAGGAAGGCACTGGCTGATGGTCCGAGATGGGGCCTGCAGGAGGGAAGTCCAGCGCCCCAGACTTCTGTGGGCCTGAACTGCAGGCTGCTAGCCCCAGCCATGCTCGACTGTACTTCTGGGGCTACAGCCGTGAGGCAGGGTTTAATGAAAAAAAAACTTTGTTTTGAAGATGAGGTTTGCCGCATTGAGTGAAACTGAGAGTTTATGTTTACTAAAGGAAGGGATTAAATTCTTATGAAATGCAGGCCACCTTCTCATCATGAATGTTGGCTTTGCACATGGTCCCCCTCTCTGACTTAGAGACTTAAAGTCCAGGATTCACAAGACTGCACTGTAATTTTCTTTGCCCTTCATCTGACATCAGAGAGTCATATGCTGTGGCAAAATCTTGTCTTTTGCTTTCACCATTCCAAGGCTTGTAAAAGCAGACTTGGAGATTTCTGGATGCTCCTTGCTCTCCATTAAAGTCTCCAGACTTTCTCTCTGTGGGAGGGGGGGTGATGGATTCGAATTGTTTGAATTCTTTTTAGGGACATGAACTAATCTATCTTTTCTTCTCTCTTTCTTGCTTCTTTCCATCTTCTTCGCTCTAGTCCTCTCCGTTGGCCCGGGAAACGCACCTTGTCCCGCCACGCAGATCCCAGAAGGAAAGGAAGCCCCATGCCTAGGCCTCGGGGCACACCATGGATCTGACAAAGATGGGCATGATCCAGCTGCAGAACCCCAGCCACCCCACGGGGCTCTTGTGCAAGGCCAACCAGATGCGGCTGGCGGGGACTCTGTGCGACGTGGTCATCATGGTGGACAGCCAGGAGTTCCATGCCCACCGGACGGTGCTGGCCTGCACTAGCAAGATGTTTGAGATCCTCTTCCACCGCAACAGCCAGCACTATACCCTGGACTTCCTCTCGCCAAAGACCTTTCAGCAGATTTTGGAGTATGCGTACACAGCCACGCTGCAAGCCAAGGCGGAGGACCTGGATGACCTGCTGTATGCGGCTGAGATCTTGGAGATCGAGTACCTGGAGGAGCAGTGCCTGAAAATCCTGGAGACCATCCAAGCCTCAGATGACAATGACACGGAGGCCACCATGGCCGACGGTGGGGCCGAGGAGGAAGAGGACCGCAAGGCTCGGTACCTTAAGAACATCTTCATCTCGAAGCATTCCAGCGAGGAGAGTGGGTACGCCAGTGTGGCTGCCCCGAGCCTCCCCGGGCCCCTGGTGGACCAGAGCCCTTCGGTCTCCACCTCCTTTGGTCTTTCAGCCATGAGTCCCACCAAGGCCGCAGTGGACAGTTTGATGACCATAGGACAGTCTCTCTTGCAGGGGACTCTTCAGCCGCCTGCAGGGCCCGAGGAGCCCACCCTGGTAGGGGGTGGGCCGCACCCAAGTGTGGCCGAGGTGAAGACTGAGATGATGCAGGTGGATGAGGTTCCTGGCCAGGACAGCCCCGGGGCAGCCGAGTCCACCATCTCAGGTGGGTTGGGGGACAAGATTGAGGAAAGGGGAAAAGAGGGGCCTGGAACCCCAACTCGGAGCAGTGTAATCACCAGTGCTAGGGAGCTGCACTATGGGCGTGAGGAGAGCACGGAGCAGCTGCCACCCCCAGCTGAGGCGGGCCAGGGCCTCCCCAGCCGACCAGAGCATCCTGTACCCCCAGCTGAGAAACATCTGGGCATCTACTCCGTGTTGCCTAATCACAAAGCAGATGCCGTGTTGAGCATGCCGTCTTCAGTGACCTCTGGCCTCCACGTGCAGCCCACCCTGGCTGTCTCCATGGACTTCAGCACCTACGGGGGCCTGCTGCCCCAGGGCTTCATCCAGAGGGAGCTGTTCAACAAGTTGGGGGAGCTGGCGGTGGGCATGAAGTCAGAGAGCCGCACCATCGGGGAGCAGTGCAGCGTGTGCGGGGTGGAGCTTCCTGACAACGAGGCTGTGGAGCAGCACAGGTAGGCCCTTCCCTTCTCCCGCACATGACACCCCAACCCTGAACTTCTGGCCCTGACACCCCACCTTCAGGCCCTGTACTCCCAGATCCTGGAGTCTGTCTGCCCTGCCCTCCTTGTTATTTGTAAAAAAAGAAAGCCTTCTTTCCAGGTCTGGGAAGTGGAAGCACATTTTTCACAGTAGGGTGGGGGCCTGGCGTCGCTCCAGAGCATTGGGAATGAGGTGCCTTCGTCTGTTTGCCTTTGGCTTCCCCTTTGCATCTTCTGCTGGGACATCACTTCTCCTTTGCTGAAGTGACTGATAAATGGAAGGCGGAGAGGAAGTGGGATTGGAAATGAAGATCCCGCTCGGGCTGGATCTGGCCCTGTGACCAGGTTCAGGTCCCCCGGGTTCCCATGTGGTAGTTTGTGCAGCTCGGGAGGACAGGAGGGGCTGCTTCGGCCACAGAACAGCTGCGGCTTCCAAATGTCATTCCTAGTGAACATTCATCACCAGGAACATCGCTTCTTCGCCCTTCTCCTTCTCTGTCCCTACAAACACTTCCACAGTGAGTTGATTCAGTGGGGGGTGAGGGGAGGGAGGGGGGTGGGTCCCAGAGTTGTTTTTGCAGCCTGCAGAGCCTTAGTCTTGCCCCATCTCTGGAATTACATGCCACTTGTCCCTCTGGCTTCTGTTTCCTTCTCTGAGATAACCCCTCACTGGTTACTACTCGCTGGCTTCTATGCCAAGTGCTTCTCGTGGGCTCTCATTGCGCTTCCAGCAGCCCTCTGAGGCAGGCAGAGTTCTCCTTTACAGAGGAGGGTGCTCAGACCTTTCCCTGGGGTCCCATGGGTAGTGCCGGGCAGGGCTGGATTCACAGTCAGGTCTTCACCTCCTGCACTCTGCTGCCTCTCGGGGTCATTCTGTCCTGAAGCTGCTCATGTCTACACAACAGAGGGTTTTGAGAATTGCTCATCGGAGGTGAGAGAAAGCACTGGGTTTGGTTTTCCCCTTGCTCTTCTCATTACCTTATGCTCATTCATTTACTCTCCAGTTCCGGGGTCAGATGAATGGTGTCAAGAAATCCAGTTTCTGTTGTCATCCAGGAGGACGTTTCCCCGCCTACCCTCTCGCCTGGGATTTTGCTGATCTTTGGTAGATTCTCTCCTTCTGCAGCCTTCTCCCCGTACTCCATGCCTCTGTTGCTCTTTCAGGTGCAGGAGGGGGTGTCCGTGAGGGGGTGTGGGTTGAGGCATCTGGAGGCCGATCTGATTACCCCCAGCGGGCCGGAACCTGCCTCGACACTGCCTATTCCGTGGCCCCCGAGACAACTTGCGGAAAGTGCGGCTGAGCTAAATGTAGCCGAATTTTTTCCGGTGGGTGCGAAAAATAACCGCCACCAAGGTGTGTCTTCTTCATGCTTGTACCGCTCAGAAATAGAGGGTGTGTATGTTTTTTTGCTCAAACTTTCCTAAAGAGGAAACCCCCTCCCCAAACTTGACCAAGGTAGATTTAGCATCCTCTCCGGATGTGAATTATTTCAGTTATTTGCTCTGAGAAATGGGGTATGGTGGAAAGTCAGTTATTTTCTGGCTCTTGTGGGTCCTGCTGGCTTCAGTTAACTGAGAGGGTCACACAGCTCTCATCTCCTCGTCCCTGGGGTTCTGGGTCCTGTCTGTGGGACCCTTATTCCTCTGGGGAGAGTTGGGGGGCTGGTGTGTTATTCCTCAGATTACAGGGAGTGGGACTAACCCAAACTCGTGGTGAGAGCTTGGGAACATTACGTAACCTTTCTGAGCCTTTCCATTCATTTGTATTTATAAGTATTTTAAAGACATGGGCATTTTAGTAGACGCTAAATTCAATATGAGACGGTAACACGAAGGTAACCGGATCAACTGTGAGCTCAGGTCAGCCTACTTGCCAAACTCCCCAACCAGACAAGGCTCACGTTAAAATGAAAGGGGGCAGGGAAGGTTTAAACTCGCCTTTGCATTCTGTAACTTGCGATGGTGCACAAGGATCCCATAGTCAAAATTAAAGATGCCTGATATTAACAAGTGGTGTGTGCTTTTAAAGCTGCCCCCTGTGCCCCTGTGTTGTCTGTATTCTCACAAGAGGTTTGCATGGTAAAAATGGACATGGTCAACAGGGTGTGGCGCTAAATTAGCAGGGTAGCATCCAGAAATCTCTAGAGCTGTGACTGGCACGTTGTCGTGACTGCAAAGGTGAAGAACTGCCTCTGATATCTCCGGGGCTTGTCTCTGCCTTGCCCTTGAGGCTTGTGGGGACTGTGTAGAGAAGTCCCTGTCCTTGTGAGCTTGGGATGAAGCTGTGCTCCTGGAGCCCTACGCCGTGTGGGGCTGCTGACATGGAGAATGTGCTTTGGACTGAAAGTGCAAAGTAAGTGGTTGCAGCAGGAGAAACTAGAGCGCAGAGCAGGGTTTTCAGTGGAAAGCAGGGGGTAGTCTAAAGAAACCCAGGAGGGGAGAGACCATTTCAGTGCATGCTCGCCATCATATGCTCTTTGTGGGAGACTCTTTTTTAAATTTTTTTTTTAGATTTATTTATTTATTTATACAAGCAATGGGTACATCAGAAGCGCGGGAGGGTGAGAGAATTCACCAGAGCCAGAGGGGAGAGCAGAGCAGGCAGAATGATGAAGTACACTGCTGAGGGGAGCAGCGGGTGGCAAGAGAGGTCTGCGCGCCGGACCCTCATCCGGTGGCCGGGGATCAAACCAGCGCTGTAGAGGCTGCGGGCAGCTTTGCAACCCAGTGCTCAACCGCTGAGCCACCGGGGAGGCCCTCTTTTTTTAAAATTAAAAAAAAAATTATTTATACAAGCCCTGGGGTACAGGCCAGAGGTGCATGAAGGTGAGAGAATTCACCAGAGACAGATTGGGAAACAGAACAGGCAGATGGACCAAAAACACTGCTGAGGGGAGCAGCGGGCGAGACAAGAGAGGTCTGCCACACCATGTGGGTAACCCTGGCCGGCCGGGAATTGAACCCGTGCTACAGAGGCTGCAGACAGCTTCAGAGTGCTGCACTCAACCCGCTGTGCCACTGGGGAGGCCCATGTGGGTGACTGTTCATCTCTCCCTTGCCCTCGAGCCTCCAGGATTAAGATGCTACTTCCCTACTGTCTTCTGTCCCTCCCCTCTCATCACTGTTACAAGACAAACAGAAAATCAAGACCAAATAATCAGAGTGGGAGATTTTGATGTCAGGAAGCTATGGATTTGGCTGTGTAACAGCGATGAACGTGATAAAATAAGTGGCTACAGGTTCTATTTCTATTTTATTTTTAAGCCAGTGGGTTAGAGCATTGATAAATGCTCAGCAGTTGTTCTTGCATTTCTTCTTGGGGTACAGAATGGCATAGAGAGAAACAAAGGGAGAGCACTGGGGAGCTGCAAGGAGCACTGCTTATGGTGTCCAACACTAGGTTTCCTCATGAGTTGGTTCCAACCTGGTGAGAGGGGAGGCTGTTGATATCAACAACTAGAATGAAACAGAGCAAAATTGTGGACCACGTGGTCCTTGGCCAGATTTAAAATCAGTGTCAAAGGTAGTCAAGGATTGATGGAAACACCCAACAGAAATTCTACTTGGGTAAATCAAATGGGGTTACTTCCCAGAAGGATCCAGATAAAAGTCTGAACAATCTAGATTCTCCAGGCAGATGCAGGAGCAAACCTGGGACCCCAAAACCTTCCCTGGTGGACCCACCCTGCAGAGGATAATGTCTGAGGGAGAGAGGGTTTTGTCAGGCTTCTGGAAGATGGACTGTCTTTTTCTAGTTTCAATATCTCCTCCTCTCTCTGAAAGGCTGGAGTTGGTCTGCACGTAGACTTGTCTGGATCTGATCTCAGAGCCAGCTCAGCTAACCCAGGTTAGTCTCTTGGTTCTCAGAGTAATATGCATATGTGATAAGATTACAGGGAACAGTTGGTTGACCCAAGTGTGAACACAATCCTTGCTTACAGCCCTCAGTCACCCCAGCCTCATCCAGCCTGTTCTTCATATGTTTCTGAATTGAATGCTGCCCAGTTGGAGCAGGGTCTGGTTTCCCAGAAACCTCTGGGCCTCCTGCAGACAAGCCCTTGGACCAGCCACAATGTGTATCTTGAAGGGTTGCTTGGGAGCAGCTAGGAGTGGTCTCAGGTGGCTCCCTGGGCCCATGTGTGCAGCCCGGTCAGGAGGCTTCCTAGGTCAGCCCTAGGAAGCAGGAGACACATAGTTGAAATGTCAGAGTTCTGGCAGCCCTTGTCCTCGGCCTCTCTCAGGTGGCCAGATGCTCTGTTTTCAGTGGTTGACCATGTAGAGGGGTTCATGGCAGTTGACCTGGGTTCAGGCCACTTTGGGGGGGGTTTGACATCGTCCTGAATTCCCGGCCCCATTGTGTCATTGTGCCAGTTTGGGGTACCTCTGAGGTCCAAGAGTAGAGTCTGCTGTGGAATAATAAGCAGTAGAAATGCTACTAATAATGCCTTCGATCAGTTGCAGCACTTTCTCTGGTACAGAACGCCTTTAGTGACTTTCTCTCTCTGAACCTCACTGCTTCCCTGAAGGGGTGCTATATTCACTCTCTGTGATTATGAATTCCGAAAAGCTCCGAAAGGGAAAAGGTTTTGTGTAAGTTTGCAGCCAACTCATTTTGCTGATCTGAGGCTATATTTATCCCGCCTAGTTTGAATATTCATATGTTTTGCTGCAAAAATATTAATGTGTTTGATTACAGAGTACTTCCCTAGACGCTTCTTGGGCTGGCAACCACTGTAGACCCCATAATACCTTTATAAAATCTGGGCAATTTTTGAAGCACCCAAAGATTGGGTAAGGAACTGTGGCATGTTCTCTCATCTCCCCATTCACAGATGAGGAATATGATTTTGGAGCCAATAAGTGACTTGCCCAAGGTCACATATCTATAAATGGATAGAACCAGCAAACCAGCTAAGCTTCTCATTTGCAGTCCTGGGTTCTTCAGGCGAGGCCATATAAGAACATGGGCAATG